AAGTGAGTCCTTGATTACTGTTTTTCTTTTCTGTCCAAATATTGACACAAGGAAAATTCAATACATTATTATGAGGTAAATGTGGTTTTACTTCTAATGCAATTAGTTAAATGAAAAAACAGCTTAGATTTCATCACATAGACATAGTTTCATTTCACATCAGCAACAATTTGGTCACTTGAGACCTCACTTTTTAGGATTGGGATCTTCATTTTATCACTAGTTTAGATATTTTCTGCTTCACAGCTGTCTCTCAATCAATCAGAAAGTATTTTGTATCTCCATCCTCTGAGAATCTTAAATTTTGATACTAACAGATACAACGATATATACTTTATAATTTTCACATGTTATTCATTTATTAATTCCAAGATGCAGACTTTTGGAGGGAGCTGAATACTGATTTCACAATAAAATTGCTGCAAATTTTGTTTCATTTTTCAGTTATGGCAGAGAAAATATATTCTGCCAAGTTAGCTGAAAGTTAGCCTTTTTGTAAGAACTCAATGCATGAAGCTACTGTAAATATGGAATATATGAACTTAGACACAGATGACATGCTGTGATTCTTTTCAGTCTTCTGACAATGACATCCAGTTCTTACTTCTCTTTGTTGTCCAATGACAACAGATATGACTGAATTATGTATTTTTACATACTGCCTGCATTATTGCTTACATTACAAAAACTGAAGAATTCATTTCTGTTCCATGTAATATTTAATTGCTGTTATTTTATAAATTGTGTCTATCAAAGGAGAGCCCTGTGGCACTCATAGATAATTTTTATAAGGTATGATAGGGAAGGAGTGAAGAAAAAGAAGTTGACAAATAAAGCTTTTTCTGTTGTTGTTGTTCTTTTGGATATAATATTGAATAGCTGGGTCAACAATGAACCCACATACTGCTATGTGAGTACAGAAACTGATCCTCAAAGGTGGTGAATGTTTTAAGAGTTAGGACATATGAAATGAATTATTAATATCCTGAAATGAGCAGAAGACATTTTCAAGTGCAGTAATAAGTGTTAAATAATGAAGATACCTGCAAGGCTCCAAACAAGAGTCACAGCTAATGATCAGTACCATCAGAACCAAGTGCTGCCTGAAACATTCGCAGGACTGAGTTCATTGTGTGCTCCTCGCACTTTACACCCACACTACATGAACCTTGTCAGTAATTAATATAAAGTCCGAGATGGACCTTGTAACAATGATGAACTATTAATGGTAGAGCACTTATGCAAAACAATGTTATGGTGAAGAGAGGATGTTTGTTACTGCAGGATGACTATGAATTTTGTAAAATCGTATTTAAGCTGAAGGGCAACTGAGCTCCCTAAAGGTTCCTACTAGTCCTGATGTGGTAAGAGGTGAGGAACACAGCTGGAATAGCCCACAGATAATTTCTGGGCATTTTAAATGCCTTTACTTCTCAGGGAACTAAGAAGAATTTTATATGTACCCAGGTCTTATCGTGAGATCGGGCTGGGATTCCTCTACAAGGGGCTAGTGACACAAAGCTGTTACTAGTATTGCAGGTGCTGAGCTAATTTTAAGCATGCATCAGGAATGCCAGTGTAAGAGGAAAACATGGTTCAGGTTACACTTTTCTCCCTACTTAGGCCAGAGAAGGAAGGAAACAAAAAAGCAAAGCAAAAATGTGTCTGATGACTCTTCTGGAGCTAATGGATTTAAAGTATTGATCAAGGACTTTCAGCCCTTGCCTGACAACAGCTCGGACACCACTGTTTTATGATAAGGTGTTTGTATAGCAGGTGCTATTTCCCCATGCAGCATATTCCCTCTAGTTGTGCATCTTAATGTGCAGTCTGAGAGAGATGGTCTTGGATTCACATCTAATATTTATCCCATAAATCTAAACTTGTATCTGATCACTCTGTCTTGAGAGAACATCTATTTTTCACTGCCATTTTCTCATCCTGGCATGGTTGGAATTTTGTGAGGAGAAACAGATTCTGTAGGCAAAGCTATATAAGAAAGATGGAAAAAGCCCTTCATATTGCCTAGGCAACAGTCAGCTACATTTCAAGGGTTTTCAATCTCATGCCTTTACACTCACACTTACAGTACAATCTTCAAAGGTGTTTCATAACAGTTATTTTCAGCCATTATACCCAGTGGAAGTAGTAAATGGCATAATTACTCATTATAAGTTTGTCCTTTTCTTTTCAGAGGTGCCTTACTCACTTCAGTGCTCAAGAAACAGTAATACAACAGTAATATAGTATGAAAGTCAAACTGTACTTGGTCATCTGTTGCTGATTTTCTTATACTTATGTACAAAACTGTATCTCATTTAAGACAGTGTTTAGCATTGAAATTGTTAGAGAGGGTGAAGTTTTTACAATAAAATAATCATATAAAATAGTAAAATGATTATATTTGAGAAATTTATAAATCAATAGTGAGGCTTTGTATATTAGAAGACGTTGTAACTTTGCCGTTTTTTATCATAGTTACTCTGTAACTAAATGATACAATGGTAGTCTTGGTAGCAAGAGCTAGCATAACTGCATATGGTGAGGGGAGTATAGGTGTATGTATTGTAAAACTCTACCCAAGCAGAACCTAAGTTTAAGATAGCCAAAAAGGGCATACCAGAAGCATCCTGGTGATGATAAGAGAATGCTAACGTCCGGAAGGCGATTGGGACCTGGCCAAGTAGAGGAAAGGTGAAAAGGACAATCTGAGGAAGGCTTCTTACCTCATCTGAGCAAGACTCCTTACTTCATCAGGGCGACCACCAGAGGGGGCTGCGCAAACGCAGAAGAGGCTGATGTCGTAAGAGACTGAGGTAGCAATCTTTGATGCGTATGTATTAGTAAATGATGTAATCTGTGTTGAATATGTATTAGTTACGAAATTTTTAGTGTATAAATTGCGAACGCGATGGGACGGGAGTCGGAACCAGATTTGGGTGCGTACCCCTGGTTCCCGGCGCCTCAATAAAGCACCTCATATAACCATCCCGGTGGTTATGTGTTTGTCTCGACGCTAACAAAATGTTCTCATTTTTTTTGTTCAACCTGAGAAGAAAAAACAACCCACAGAATTTCTTCTAGCAGTAATTTGCTTATTTCTTGCACATTCATAGCAGGACATGGTGATGTTAAAAAAAGACACACATATTGCAATATTATTACTAAGGCTATGTTATAAGAAATTACCATTCACAGAAAAACAGCATAGATTATTATTTTAGCAGTTGAAACAAAGCATCGAAGGGTAACTCAGGACTGCATGAAGCAGCCTGCGCAGTCTAAGCATTGTGGTGCTCATCAGCACCTCTCACAAAAGACCAGAAAGCACCTGTGACTGTACTGGAGCTAACCTTGTAGCAAGAATCATCTTGGATTCAGATGTTGTTTAAACAACTTGTGGCAGGCCAACTGCAATAAGCTTTCTCAACCATTTAACTCCTAGTTGGCCAAATCATAGTGTTACCCTTTAAGTCCCTGTATTTGTCTCAGCTCTTCTGTAAAGAGGAATTATAAGTCCCTGTATTTGTCTCAGCTCTTCTGTAAAGAGGAATTATGATATGACAAACACCTAAACACCCAGAAGATCTTTCTTACATAAAGTATGTGGAAATGTATTTGCTGGAAAGACCTAATAATACCTTTGAAAGGGCATTAGAATACATTACAATACAGTCTGTTGTGTTGATAGTCCACGTGCTAATCAGTCCCTAAGTAATTGTTGACACCATAGAGTGCAGCAGCTCTGAAGAGAAATTGCAAGCACATGGGTTACTTCTGCTGGAAACAGACTTAGCATTTAGAATATTTTCATTAGCCACTTTCCAGCTCATTAACCTTTTTGTATCAGAAAAAAATACTGATATCCAGCCAGGATGAACTCATGAATCATTTAATTTGTTTCAAGTCTGCCCCAATAACATCAGGAAAAGAAGTGAAAGGAGACTCTCCTTTATTTTTATTTTATTTTTATTTTAATTTATTTTAATTGACTATCTTCGGCATAAATACAATGATATTTTTTCTTTAATTTAGTAGTAATTAAAGTTCACATTTCTAAAGTAGCCTTACAAATTGGGGTAAAAACTTTACAGAGGTACCAAAAGACAGTACTTCCAACTTGTTAATTAAAGAGCGACTCTCCAGAAGCATGTAGCAAAGGAGAAAAAGTGGCAAGCACCATGCCTGAATGAAAGCAGAAGGTGTTTTACATTAGCAGAAGGTAAATATTCACAGTGGAATGAGTGAAGGACATCACCCTCTACTATGGCTGAAAAATATTTCTTCAGAGATTCGAGCTCCCATGCAAGAGTAGGATGCATCTGCCTTTAACGAAACAGAAAACTCTCCAATAGTAAAATGTTCCCAATGTCATGCTGCACTTGTAAAGGAGCAGTGCTGCCAATTGAATTATCAATACTGTTTTTTGTACTACAAATCTGCTCACTGAAACTTCATCTGCTAATTTTACACAGCTCCTATGTAATTTGTCTTGCTGTAATGCTCCAGGGATTTGTCCTGGGCAATAGAGAGGAAAATACAACTGAACAATACCCTCGGTTCAGGTGCTTCCAGCCTGGAGAGAGTGTACAATCTTCAAAGACATGCTCCTGGCTATGATGAAGATTATTCACTCTGACTTTTACCTGGGAAGCAAAGAAAGAACCTCAAGAAAGAATGAAACTGGCAAGTAAAGATGAGGTGAAAGTCGGAGTGCTGAGAAACCTGTTCAGTCTTTAACTGGGGAATCACTGTTTAAGTCTGGAGTAGAATGACAAGGAAAATTCCCTTTACAGGTTATGATGCACTCTTCAAGAAGCTTTAGGAACTGTGCTATCTACTTCACTTATATACAGAGGCTAAACTGCTAGCTGTTAAAATTGAAGGCTTGCCTCTTAGCAGGAGGTTCATACTCAGCAGCTGGGCTTTTAAGGAAAAAAAATATTTTCCAAAACATGCAATGCTAAGAGTTTAAGCCCATGTAGTGTGTGTCTAAGCACTTGTTTGTAGCAGATGATGTTCATTCAGCAGTAAGTCCCACTGCCTTCTTTTTTTGCAGAGTCCAGTCTAGTTCATGTGCTCTGAGGACATCCACAGTGTCAAGGTCTGGTGTTCCTAAGCACGGGACAAAGCAGATATTTAAGCACTTGAGGAGATGGAAGCCAAAAGGTTTCAAGAGTATTATTATTATTTCAATAGTATTATTTCAAGATATTATTATAGAGGAGAATTTCGGAACTTTTGGTCAAAATCCCAGTATATAAGCCTCTTCTTCAACCAGAACATTTAAACCATTTACCAAGGAAACTCTGGTCGTTCTAATTTCGCACTTGCTTCCATTAAACAACACCCAGTTGTGGTTGTGACAAAGGGTGACACCAGTCATGCCAGGTGAGATCACATGAAAAAAATCCCTCCTTCACTTCACAGGAATTGTTGCAGAAATATTGTCTAGCTGCAGAGAAATGATAGACTGTGTTACTCACAGGTTTTGATTTTACAGCATTGCCACCAAATTGTCAAATCTCAAGGAAAAAAAAAAAAATGGAAAAGAAAGAAGGGAACCAGTAGTCCTTTTTTCTGTAAATAGTGTCAGGATTTGATTACCTTGAAAGCTGAAGAAAAGATGCTTCAATATTTACAAACCAAATGCATTTACATTGTATATTAGGAAACATGCCAGATTTCACTTTGCTGGTCCTCTGTTAAGAAATATTTAGGTTTTAGTCCATAAAGAAATTCACTGAACTTCAGAAAGTGTAAAATACACAGAATGTTATTCTGGTTTTCCTCAGGAGACTTTCATTCTACATTTATAGCAAGAAAAGACAGAAGAGTTGGACAGAAGTGACCAGAAAATACACTGAATTAGGTTTAGTTTTATGGCGATTTAGGTGCTTAATTCCCATAGGTTTCTTGGAAAACTAATAAATGCATTCAGTATGTTAGGACCTCTCCATTAATGTATTTTAAGACTATGAACCATTAGATCACATAACCTGTCCATTTGTATTATACCAGCTATAAAATTTCACCTAGTAACTCTTTTACTAAGCCTGTGTTTTGTGAATAAAAATATCTTTGGGGGAGAAAAAAAAATCCTTTCTGGACCTGAAGACATCCACAGATAGAAGACTTACAACTTCATTTGATATCTACTCTTAACTATTATTCATTCCCATGGCTAACTTATGCCCTTGATTTCTCAGCTGAATTTATGCAACATCAACATTCAGTCTTGAGCTAATTTTAGGCCTTTTGTCGGCAGCATTTTCAACACCTTTTAGACCCTATCTTGGAGATAGTGTGTGCTACCTTTTTTAAAATTACCTTTTGTCAGGTCATTTCTTGAATGAAATCGTTGATGTATTAAAATAAAAGTCATGTAAGATGATTTCAACCTACAGGTTCTTCACAATGTACTCAGAAAAGCCCATACTTCTTGTTTATATATTTTGCACCAACCTGTTTATCCTCTCTGAATAAGCAACTTCTGAACACGCAAGAGGCATTGAAGATGCTTGTGCAAACGTTTCTGGAGTGACTCTTAGGCTATTCATAGATGTAGCCAAAACACTTTTATGTCTTGAACATTCCTGCCAATAAAATGTTCTTAGCCAAGTTAAGAAAAAATATTTTAAAAGCACAGCAAAGCTCTATGGATACCCTCAAAGTAATATGTGGTATTTGTGCGCATATATTTCACAAACTGTTTAAACAGTCTACTATTTACTTATTTTCTCCTTACATTGGCACAGCTGCCAATGACATTTGCCACAACCATGAGAAAACATGTAGATACCCTGTCCGAAGAGCTAATTTGGACCCGAGATACTACTACCACTACCGTGCTCTGCAATGAGATATTGTGTGACAGTCCTGTTACATGCTACTAGGAGTATCGCTCACTAATCAGCAAAATGCTATACAGTCAAGCAGAGGCAGCAGGGTATTCCCCATGTCTGCTTACTCAAGGAGAATGTCACTATTGGTTCTGTTAACTCTTTTGCCTTTGTAGCAGTGTCTTGATAACATTTATTTTATTCTTTTACAGGACATGTTACTACAGTTACCATATCATAAACCAAGAAGGTGGCTAAGGAAATTGCTAAAATAGCATGATTCCCAGTTTCAGTGGGAGCTTAAACCACGTGTAAAAACATTTTTAGAAACAAATTTGAAAGCATGACAGTATACATTTGTCCTGCAGAAATTCCATTCCAAGCTGCAAAGTAAGTGCAAATTAGAGGATGTGTTGCATGTATGTTTTTCTCTATTATGTGTTTTTAGAAAGATCTTTTCTTCCATCCACTAAGAAATATCATAGTTTTAAGTGCTATGGAAAATAATGTGCATAATGGAAGAATTTCAGCCACAGGCTTCTCTAGTTACCTTCTTTAGTAGTGTTTTTAAATTTCTTCTTGCTTTTTCCCATCCTTAACTGCCACCTGGCACTCTTCTGTTAGCACTGGTAAAGTAGGCCAAGCTTGCCAATAACATCATTTGAATGACAGGCTGTGAAAATTTAAACACCCCACAAAAACATCCTTTTCCTCTGGAAAAATGGAATTTGACATCTTTATATTTTGGGGGGGTTTGATGTAAACTCTGCTCCATGGAGCATAAGGCAATGGGCAATGATTTAGTCCAGCAGATCTAAAAGGCTTTTTTATTCATACTTTCAGAAGTAAAAGTATTTGTTTTCTTGTTTTCTTTTTTTTTTTTTCAAACACTGCTTTACTGTTTTGCCAAGGCACTTTTAGGTTTCTAATTTTCATGTCGATGAAGTAGCCAGCATTTATGGATTTCTATTCATATATGACTTATACACAAGATGCTTGGCAACAAGAGAAATATTCACTATTTTTTAACCTAAAGATTTGACTTCAACTGCTAGATACCTGCATTTGTCAATTACAACTTGTTAACTCAGGCGAGACATTTCTTGAGATATTTTTAAAATAACATCCAATTGGAAAATGTCTTTTTTTTCTTTTTCTTTTCTCTTGGCCAAAATATGTCAAGTACAAGAAAAAATTTGCAAAAGTTGTATTTATCAGATCAAGAATGAATTTCCTTAAGGAAAAATAAAAAAATCTGTTACCAGACTTTTACATTTAGAAAAATTGCATTTAGAAAATTGCATTGTAAAGTGTTCTGTGTTCCAACAGCAATTGCCTGCACCTACTGTACACTGCAGTAAAACAAAAGCCCTTTGCTTTTCCTGTGTTTTGCAGTGGAATTGGTCTTTCATCTTAGTTACTAAATACATTAAATCCAGAGAGTCACATCCCTTGCTGAAAAAGGAGGGCTCCTATTTCTCTTAAGTGACTTTTAGGAGAGTATGTTGGGATTTATACAATATCTACCCCTCAAAAGTAATCCTTACTATGAAACAACCCATTGGAATTCACTGTAGGGTCTTACCTGGAAAAAAAAAAAAAAAAATCCCTAATCTCAGCATTTCCTCAATGTCTTTTGTTCTTTTAAAACCAAAGGCTCTCTCAAATCATGTGGGACAGGCTTCTCTCTTGACACCTCATTCATAAATTCACAATTCAAGAATGTGACATATCTGGAATTCAACAAAATCAGCCTGGATCTTTACTGGTGAAATATACCCAAATTTTTCCTTAACTGTGATTAAAGGATACAGTGACACTAAGCATATTGCTTCTCCCTCTTCCATTGACTTCAATCCCTTTGACAGCTGTGTGCATCTCTCAGCAGTTTTAATACATCTAGTTTGAACAAACTGGTCAGGTTGATGGGAGGGAGGAAAAAAGGTTTTATATATATATATGTATATATATAAAAGACATTGAGATCAGGAGTACCAGTATAAATTAGTCCAGAATACCTCAGGCAAAGATATTCTACATTCCCTCTGTGCTAAATAGCTATTTCCAGGAGACATTTAAATTCCAAATAGCTCAGGATTAGGTGCTACTTTAGAGACATTCTCCAAAGCAGTGTCAGTGTCGAGGAAGTCCAATGTTTTCATTACAGTACAGAACTGTTGAGGGGATAGGAGAGTCACTCCAAAACCACCAAATACAAGTATAGCCTTTTTTCTGGCTTCTATGAGCACAACCCATCTCCCTACAGGTATGTACACCTTGAAGAGAAATTGCTGTACAACCCCGTCTGCATGAAGTACACTTATTCTCCCTTTTTGGCAATTAGTGCAACGTCTGGGGCTCTTGCTCTGATGCTGGCTGGACTAGTTTAATAACAGCCTGCAGTGTTTATTAGCCGAGAGGAACAGTTATGTCTCCAACATTCCCGAGAGCTGGGTTTGCCAGGAACTCCTGATCACACAACGGACTTCGACATTCCTCTTTTAAGACGGGAACAAACAACTGAACCTACTGAGAGTACCCTTTGTCAGAGCTTGGTAGTGCTTTTCTAATAAAACACGGATGACTTATAATATGTTTACATGTGAGAAATATTTGGCATATAAAGCAGTTGCAGCACAAGATTCTTGGGTGCCAGAAAGAGGTTTCTTGTGATTTCATAACAAAGATCTTCTGTTACTGCTCAGAACAGTCAGGGAAGTTTTCTGTACAGCACTAAACCAGTAAGATATTCTCACTGGTTAATTGCCACAATCTACTTCTCAATACAGCAAAACCACAATAACTTTGGTTGTTCAGCCATGAGACAAATCCCCAAGAATTGCTTCCAGCTGAAGAACAACAGGGTACTGATAGCTACATCCATGTTATGGCTGGAATAATTCATTTGTGTATACACAAAGTTTGCGAACAGATTTTGCAAGCCAAAAAGTCTTACTTACCTAGTGGAAACACTGCCAAGAAACGGGTGGCTGCCATAGCACTGCCATTCTCCCAGGAGGGTACAGCTTCCAGCATCACCTAATTTGCCTAGGCAGACTGCCTAGGCAAGGGATTAGGCATTCTTTTTTTCTGTCCCAGACTTATATTTAGTTCTCCATTAGTTAGCTGAGTACTTGCAGGTATTTCTTAAGTCTTTCTACCCTTGCACCATGCAGATTGACTACAGAGCCAACCACCCACATTAAATCAGCCACATTCAGTGAATCAGGTGAGGTGGAGGAGCAGTCATCGCAAAAGGAGGCTGGGAGGAGGCAATACTCAAACAAATGTACAGAAGCCTTACTTTTTCTTTCTCTTCCTTTTTGCCACTTTCAATGTTACAGCAGTAGTTCCTCCCTTCTCTTATTTTGTGTATTTAATTCTTCCAATATCCTAACAGAGCTGCATCAGGGAAGCAGATTGCTCAGGCCCAGATGTCAAGCTGAGCATCCAGGTGAATGGTTAATTCTATAGGTTATTTACCCAACTGCTCCTCCCACAACAAAAACTACTAGAATAAATAATTACAAAAAAGAAAGATATGTTTGACCTCACTGAGCTCTTGGTCATTTTTACTTTCTGGTTTACCTTTTCTTTACTTCCTATAAAGTTGCAACAATATACAATGTCACTAACAGCAGACCTATAAAACAAGAAAAACCATGCATCAGCCATCCCCAGAACGAAAATCTGTTTGAAATGAGTTTGAGGGAAAACATTTGTAATGCAGGCCATAATCACATTTCTTAAGTAAAACACAGACTAACAGAATAAGTGACTTTATGACAGAGAAGAATTCATGCTGACAAAACTACTTTTGCAATGTTCACCCAAAAGAATAAGAAAAAAAAATCCCCAATCCCGTGGGATAAAAAACATTGATCATTTTCCCAAGTTTCGTCAGCTGTGTTTCATATGTTGTGTTACCCCTTCCTCTGTATTTATACATGAAACATACAAAGAAAAATTAAGCTTTTTCACCTTCCTGAGGAAAAACAGAGGCCATACATTTTGAACAGGAAGTATACTTTAAAATTATATTCATTTCTCTTGGCTGAATATACTTTGCATAACATTTTGAAACACAGCAACAAAGCATTAGAAGCAAGCAGTTATAAAAAAAGTGTAATATAGATTAAATCAGACTAACAAGGAAATAATTTATTACAGTCCATTTACATTCTAATTACATCAAAACTTTGTCCTTTGTTACTTATCAGTACTCAAATAGAAAGCAGTTAGTTTTGCTGCAGATAACAAAACTGTGGTGAAAGAAAATATCAATCCACATGTTAATTCATACTATTTCCCTTTCACCTACAAAAGGAGTGTTTAAGCATTGTAGAATGACAGTTCAGCACACTCAAATGAGCCTACAGCATTCATTTATTACCCTATGATAAATCACAGAGTCCTGCATTCATTAAGTTGCATGCATGAAGCATGCAGAATACAGGGCCTTCTATTCATAATACATACAACAGCTAAAATCAGTTCTATGCCAGCAATTAAAAAAGTAAATCACTGTGCTCTGCCAGTTTGCCTCAGGCACTGTCTCTTTATCAGCTGCCATAGACACTCATGATGTCTTGGCCAACTAAGAGTAAGAAGTAGGACTGACACCCAAATATTTCAGCTAAGATCTTAATTCCAACATTTCTTACTAAAATATAAGCCAAAGAGAGACTGTCCAGAGAATAAGGACTTTACACATCTGACTTCAGAATAAGCACTTTACACAAATGAATTCCCTGTGAGATTTCATACCAACTGTATATCATTTTTCAGGGAGAAAAATGCAAATAAAGGCTACATATTGTGTCCAGATTAGAACACAGCTCTAAGCTGTTGAGTCTGTTGCCAAATGCCTTAAATCTGAGCTATCAGAAAAATAGAGGAAGCATTTCATGAGAAATTTAGAAGCTGTTACTTCACAGACCAGTTTATTGCTTTGCTATTCACTTTAAACAGAATTTTTCCATGTTCCTTTTATAAACCTAAGGAACATTCTCAAGCAGGTCTGTCATTGTATTTATTTGAAAAACAGTGTTTTAAGACAATAATAGGAAGGCAGCAAGGGTAATAAAGTTTTCATATAACCATAATGGTAATTTTTGCGGTAAGAATTGTTTATTTGAAAAATACAGATCCTGTAAGACCTTGTAAGACCAATTCTATTTCTTATTTTTAATGAGCCCCAAAACTGAAGTAGTTTTCTAGCTCACCTTTTCAGCACTGAGTACCAATAGCTGATGCAAGTGCCTCTGGGTGTCTGACTTAATAATTTTCATGGGGTTTAATCATTTTTGAATCTAAATGTGATTTTTTTCATAGCATTAATAGGAATGGCTCTTTGCTAAGCTATTGCAAACACAGAATAGCCTATGGGAGGTTTAACATATCTGTCATGTTAGTAAAATTCTAGGACACTTCGGTCATGCTGCAACTTACTAAATTTCATCTCAGTTTGCTGTGGAACTTCTCCAACTTTGGATGAAAGTTATTCTGAAGAACACTCATTTGGCTTTAAAAATATACTCAGTGGCACTTGAATTTGCATCTGTTAAAATGCTGTGTGCTGAGTGTCATTCCTAAAATACCACAAAAGAATAAATTCATAGGAGAATCTTGGGGATTTAAGACCTAAATTTTAGATGATCTTCTACATTGTGAAATTCAGGTCATTCAAATTAGCCACCTCAGCATGAGGACAGTGAAGTGCTCAACAAGTGGGGGCTCATCATTCCTTGAACAGGGATTTAGATTGTCAGTTTGGTAGATACACTGAAGGAGAGGGTAATTTAAGCTTCATTTCATGTTAATATCCTAATGTTCTCAGAGATTCACAGTACTAAAAGCTCTTCCTTTCAAATGCCAGGAACCTGTCAAGTTGTTTCAAACACAAGAGGAGCTGATAGTCAATAGTTCAGCACTGAGCTTATTCACCATGAGTGTGGGAGCAGAATGCTACAAACTCAGCTGAGCAGCATCCCTGCATGGGGAATTCCTCACTCGTGCTTTTCTGAGCTATTCCACTTCACCCAAAACACAGAACTCACCAGAAAGGCAAAGAGGGAGCAATGACTTATGTGGATTACCTTCTTCCTTTAAAACACTGACCTGTCACAGATAAACTATATACCTTCCATACCTGCCTATTGCAAGCCAGCTAGCTTTCCTCCACCATCACGAAAGGACACAATCCGACTAACCCTCCTTCATCATCACAAATGGAAATAATATGTTTTCCTCATCTGTGTCTTTCCCCTTCTTGCCTCTACTCACCAGATCTTCCCCACCAGTTTGGAAAACACAGATTTAGTGATTAGAACATTAATTGGCACAGAGGCAGAAAGCCAGTTCTTGCACCTCCAAGTGATTATCCTGAACTGAAAGCAATAGATTTAAGTGCATTTTTGTTTTCTTGTTCCAGGCCAATGCACTGTTAATTATTTCATTCCTTGAGCACATCTGTTGGCTAAGGACTTCCAGGTAAAGTAGGTGAATATTTTGCAAACCTTGACAGAGCTTAGGCCCTCATCATCTGCCTAGTATCTCTATGCTGTGAAGACTTCTGTGGATATAAAAATACACCAACAGCTTCCCCAGAGGAAAGATGATATAGGGGAAGTTTTAGGCACCTGCAGAGTTAGGCACAAATTTTGTTCATGACAGTGGGTGTCTACAAAATTAACTAGCTGCCCTGTCAATCAGGCTCAGAACATCTCACTCAGATACTTACAAATGAGATAGTAGGAAATCGCTATTGCAATTTGTGCACATGAAAGGTACAGTTTAAATAATCAAACGTACCTGAAGAATGTTATTGTTCTACTTTTTCCCTGAAGATCCACATGGTCACATTCTTCATCTGCATAATTTGCCTGCATTTCCCCAATGACTGATGCAGGAACTGTCCTTACCAGAGGCATGCTCCTGGGAGCTGGGTTGCACTCTTTGGCAGTGATTGAGACGTCTGGAATAAGAAAAAAGACTCTGTCAGCAATATAATGCTCATGACATGTTCCATTTTCAGAACTTTTCCCCCCAAAATCTCACAGTGAACGATGCAATTAAAATTTTGGAATTGCAGGGGTGGTGACTGAGTGCTCAGTTTCTCACTTTCTCTGGCAGCTACTCAACTCCTTTGTCCAATGTGGTAGGAGCCAAACAAATTGCAACTGAAATAAATTTTCCCCAGGACATTTCCATTTTATCAATACATGCTTCAGGTTCTGAGAACACATTAGCAGCATTGCGAATTTCATGTACATTAGTTCAAACTGTTTTCTTTGGGAAAAAAAAGGGACCCAAACCAACTATCTAATTAGACCCAAAGACACGCAAAAGAAAGTGGTGTTGGATAGTATTTCTATCTCTTGAACATAAAAGTTCAGCAAGATCAACTGAATTGTCTTTACACCACTACTACATTTTTTATAGTGTTTTTTTGTGATACAACTCATATTCACTATTTCTTATTGTTTTAAAAAAGTTTAAATTCATGGTTTTGGCAAAAATCTGTCTAATATCATAACCATTTGGAATATCACAATCATTTCACAAATTGGTAGTTTATTTAAGTAGTATCATCAATTTTTTTTTTCAGAATTTGCAGGAATTATGTTTGTGTACGTTTAGTGTGCAAAGATACAGCATACAAGAGGAGCTGGCATTGAAACCTCTCTATAAATTCTACTGAAAAGCATTTGAAGTTAATAACTTAGTCAAACATCAAAAGATAACAGTCTTAGGTGCTTTGCTGAGCAGAAAGGAGGTATTTCTATGCAAACGCTACTAAATTTGGTGGACTTGGATGAAAAAGCATCATTTATAGATTACTCAGAATATCAGATTAGACAAAGAGAAGCAGATTCCTGAATCATAAAATTCAGTCCACCATTGTTTGTACTTGTAGTACAGCCTGTTATAGAACCATAGAATCATAGAATCATAGAATAGTTAGGGTTGGAAAGGACCCCAAGATCATCATAGTTAGGGTTGGAAAGGACCCCAGTGCCTCACCACCCTAACAGTTAAGAATTTCCTCCTTATATCCAATCTAAACTTCCCCTGTTTAAGTTTTGACCCATTACCCCTTGTCCTGTCACTACATTCCTTATTGAAGAGTCCCTCCCCAGCATCCTTATAGGCCCCCTTCAGATACTGGAAGGCTGCTAGGAGGTCTCCACGCAGCCTTCTCTTCTCCAGGCTGAAAAGCCCCAACTTTCTTAGCCTGTCTTCATACAGGAGGTGCTCCAGTCCCCTGATCATCCTCGTGGCCCTTCTCTGGACCTGTTCCAACAGTTCCATGTCCTTTTTATGTTGAGGACACCAGAACTGCACACAATACTCCAGGTGAGGTCTCACGAGAGCAGAGTAGAGGGGCAGGATCACCTCCTTCAACCTGCTGGTCACGTTCCTTTAGATCAGCTCAGGATACGGTTGGCTTTCTGGGCTGCGAGCGCACACTGAAGCCAGCTCATGTTCATTTTCTCATCAACCAACACCCCCAAGTCCTTCTTCACAGGGCTGCTCTGAATCTCTTCTCTGCCCAACCTGTAGCTGTGCCTGGGATTGCTCCGACCCAGGCGTAGGACCTTGCACTTGGCATGGTTAAACTTCATGAGGTTGGCATCAGCCCACAAGCGTGGATGACATTCCTCCCCTCCAGCATGTCAACAGAACCCCACAGCTTGGTGTCATTGGCAAACTTGCTGAGGGCGCACTCAATCCCACTGTCCATGTCACTGACAAAGATGTTAAACTAGACCGGTCCTGACACCGATCCCTGAGGGACACCACTTGTTACTGGTCTCCAGCCGGACATTGAGCCATTGACCACAACTCTTTGTGTGCGGCCATCCAGCCAGTTCCTTATCCACCATGTGGTCCACCTCTCAAATTGATGTCTCTCCAATTTAGAGACAAGGATGTCGTGTGGGACAGTGTCGAACGCTTTACACAAGTCCAGGTAGATGACATCAACTGCTCTACCCCTGTCCATCAGTTCTGTAGCCCCATCATAGAAGGCCACCAAATTGGTCAGGCAGGATTTCCCCTTAGTGAAACCATGCTGGCTGTCACCAAGCACCTTGTTGTTTTTCATGTGCCTTAGCATGCCTTCCAGGAGAATCTGCTCCAAGATTTTGCCAGGCACAGAGGTGAGACTGACTGGTCTGTAATTCCCTGGGTCATCCATTTTCCCCTTCTTGAAAATGGGGGTTATATTTCCCTTTTTCCAGTCATCGGGAAGTTCACCTGACTGCCATGATTTCTCAAATATGATGGCCAGTGGCTCAGCAAATTCATTTGCCAGCTCCTTCAGAACTCGCGGATGGATTTCATCAGGACCCATGGACTTGTGTATGTTCAGGTTTTCAAAATGGTCTCAAACCAGATCCTCTTCTGCAGTGGGCCCAAGGTCTTCATCCTCACAGTCCCTGCATCTGCCTTCCAAGACTTGGGTGGTGCAGTCAGAGCCTTTGCCAGTGAAGACCAAGGCAAAGAAGACATTCAGAACCTCAGCCTTCTGCAAATCCAGGGTAGCCAGTTATCCTGAGAGCTTCCGGAGAGGGCCCATGTTGCCTCTAGTCTATCTTTTATTTGCTATGTACCTATAGAATCCCTTCCTGATATCTTTAACATCCCTTGCCAAGTTTAATTCTAACTGGGCCTTAGCTTTCTTAACCTGGTCCCTAGCTTCCTGGACAACATCTCTGTATTCTTCCCATGCCACCTGTCCTTGCTTCCTTTTATAAGCCTCTTTTTTCCTTTGAAGTTTCCTCAGGAGCTCCTTATCCATCCAAGGAGGTCTCTGGCCCTCCTGCTGCACTTCCTTCTGGTTGGGATGCAACACTCCTGAGCTTGTAGCAGGTGATCCTTGAATATCAACCAACAGTCTTGGGCCCCTCTGCCCTCTAGGGCTGTATCCCATGGAACCTTCCAAAGCAGGTTCCTGAAGAGGCCAAAGTCTGCTCTTTTGAAGTCCAGGGCAGTGAGCTTGCTGCACGCTCTTCTCACTGTCCTGAGGATCTTGAATTCAACCATCTTGTGATCGCTGCATCCAAGGCTGCCCTGGAGAGTCACATTTCCAACGAGCCTTTCCCTGTTGGTGAGCACGAGGTCAAGCATGGCACCTCTCCTTGTCGGCTCCTCTGTTACTTGCAGAAGGAAGTTGTCTTCCACACAACTGAGGAACCTCCTGGATTGCTTGTGCCGGGCCGTACCATCCTTCCAACAGATGTCAGGGTGGTTGAAGTCACCCATGAGAACAAGGGCCTGTGAGCGTGAGGCTTTTCCTATCTGTCTATAGAGCACTTAATCCACAGAGTCCTCTTGATCAGGTGGTCTGTAACAGATCCCCACAGTAATGTCTCCCATCGCTGTTCTCCCTTTAACCCTGTGTCCTGGGTTCAGCAGTAGCAGTCATTTTTTTCCTTCTTAGTAGGAGGTACAGGGCTGTGTCTTTGACTTTCAGCCTGGGAACAGCATTGATAACACCGATGTTTTTAGGTGTTGCTCAGTCGTGTTTACTCTGACCGAGGACTTTCTGAGTCTCATGCTTTGACAGGGAGGAGGGGAAGCCAGGAGGAGGCAGAGACAGGACACCTGACACAAACTAATCAAAGAGGTATTCCATGCCATGCCCAGGATGTAGAACTAGGGGCAGTTACCTGGAAGGGGGAGATCACTGCTCAGGTCGGGCTGGGTATGTGTCTGCAAGTGGTGAGCGGTTGTATTCCCTTCCCTGTTATTTCCCTTATCATTATTATTATTGGCAGTAGCAGTAGTGGTTTGTTTTATACCTTAGTTACTGGACTGTTCTTATCTCAACCCGTGGGAGTTACATTCTTTTGATTCTCTTCCCCATCCCTCCAGGAGCGTGGGGAGGAAGGAGGGGGAGTGAGTGAGCAGCTGCATGGGTCTGGGCTGCCTTTTGGGCTTAAACCAGGACACCCTGACCCACAAACTATGTTGATTGCTCACCTGTCCCCAGAGTTCCATACTCTCCAGCCTATCCGTAACATAAAGGGCAAATCCCCCTCCCCGCCTGCCGGGCTGGTCTTTTCTAAAGAGCCTGTAACCTTCCATTCCAACACTCCAGTCATAGGAGCCATCCCACCATGTTTCTGCGATGCCTATATATATCACACACCC